TTTTTTTTTTTTTGTGCTTTTTGGTCCATCTATTAATAAAAATGAACCCCGTTACAGAGTCACCATCATGTCTCTTCTCACCACCCTCTGAGTCTGCATTAGCCAGTCAACTACCCCTTTCAGCGTCATGTGACCAGCGCGCCCCATTCAGCTTGGCTGGTGTCGTTTCACATGACCCAGGCATGGCCAGTCGCCAGGTTGCACCGCCCTTTGGTTCCCGAGCATGCTGTTTTCTCTCAGCCTTCTCTCCAACCTTAACCAAAATCGGCAGCAGCCACCTCGACCGCCCACACATTCCTGGCCAATCAGCTCAGCTGTTTATTTACCAAATGTCTTCACAACAACTACAGCAACAGCCTTCGGCTAACCAAAAAGCAGGAAAAATCCACAACACCCCCTTCGCCAACCAACTAAATCCAACGCAACATCTGGCAAAACCTTTTCAGCAAATTCTTCCTGGCCGTCAGTCCGGCAGCCTCACCTCACCATTTCTAGCTTGTTGAAACCCAAAACTAGTAAGTTTTTCCTGCTTATACAGTTTACTGCTGGTTAAAATAAGGAGTAAGCGGCTTAAAGTAATTCTTTTTCTGGATCAAAGGCTGGCTGTGCATAATTGAATGGTAACGTACATATATATTGCTTGAATAAAACTTTTAAGGGTGATAGGGAACTCATAATGTAACTAGACTTTCAAGTGAAACTTATTTGCATGTGTGAGATGCCAAACTAAAAATTTTAATATATCTAACTAAGCTTACCTTTCTAGCAGAAATTTGTTGAATCCTTATCACCTTTAAATGGTTTTACTAACAGTTTTCAAATTTTAAAAAATTTTTGGGGTAAAGTGGGCCGAGCGAGCTAAAGGTAATTTGAATAAGCCTAAACACACCCTTAAATGTGACAATCACAAATGCAGTTCTAATGTAGCACTTAATAAAGGCATCAGTATTTACACCTAGCGCATTTCCACAAAAGTACACCCTCCACCTGGTACCGAAGTCTTGTCATGGACTTCTGGGTTGCATGGGTTCCAAATACTGGCTTATGGTACTGTTTTGGAACTACTTGTGGGGACTACATTTTGGTGTGGTGTTTGGGTAGTGAGTTTAGTTTGACCTAAAATTTTGCATTGGACAGATCTGTGAAGCATTCTTGATTAAAGTGAATCCATGGTTGGAATGACCTGCCTTTTTTCACTTTGAGCTTTTTTAGTTCCTTGAACTTGCCCCCCCTTTTAAAAAAATACTTTTCTTTCCTTTTTAAAGTTAATGAGTTTATATATTTTTCTTTTTTTAATTATTTTTTATTTTTGGACAATGGGTGCCAGTTCTTCGGCACATTCCCTGGGCCCAACAGTGAGATTGAAAAGTTGGGAAATGGCCTCTCGCCATCAATAGTAATCGATGTGACCTAATTTTCCCCTTTCTGCTTTCAGATCTCCTAGGAGGAGAAGCTTCTCTCGCAGCCGGAGCAGGTAAATCAAAGTGCCTCCTGTGGGGGCCAGATTCTCAGGAAGAAGAGCAGCTTTCTTTGTCTTCGCTCTTGGCAATTGGTGGGGTTATTGTGGAACAGGCCTTGAATAAGTGTGGCATATAAATCCTGGGTGGTTGATTTTCAGAAAGAATCAACTTAGCGTTTTTAAAAAGACTCGTTTAAAGGCCATTTTGTTGCTGACCCTAATTTTGGCTCCTTGTTTAGGTCCCTTTCTCGAGACCGGAGGAGAGAGAGATCACTGTCTCGGGAGAGAAATCACAAGCCGTCCCGCTCCTTCTCGAGGTCTCGTAGGTAAGAAAGATCTCTGGTGATGCAGATCATGTAAATATAAAACATGTCCCTCAAAAGAAGCCGTTTCAATGACTGCTGTTTTGTTTTATTTCTTAGCCGATCTAGGTCAAATGAAAGAAAATGAGAAGATGGAGTTGCAGACGGAGTGTAGTGTGTACAGGAAATGGATCATTTGACAGGAGTGTACAGACAAGTCACGTTGTGTTTGAGTCTTCAGAAGCCTTGGTGCGTTTTAAAGATATTTAGCTGTTGGAATTTTGTCTCCACACAAAATTGAATTTGCTTTGAACTTCAGTTAGTCTTGAATAAGACTGATAATAAACCTCTGAGTCTCGCCCAGCTAAAGTGTGATGTTTACTGTTGAGGAAACAAGTGGCAACGATGGCTCTATTGTTTTGTCTGTGGCTGGGAAAAGGCAGCTGTAGTGAAATGAGCAGTCTGAGAGCAGCTGAGAACAAGCCACCCGATAAAAGTAAGTAGCTGCACCATTAAAGTAGGTTAGAGGTTTTAAATAAATCCAACCTCGTCTTCAACCATGTGCAGAAGTTACTCTGTTCATTTTGAATTGGATAGTTTTAAGGAGTTTTTTTTTTTTTAACTTTGGCTTTAGGTCATAAAGTCTTTGTTATTGATGTATACAAAAAAGTATTTTGTAACACATACTTGGAAAATGTAGGCGATCCAAGATACCAATGTTCTGCCAGTTTTAATAGGGTACATTGTAGAGCTGAATTTAGGGTTACTGTGCAAGATTTGTTTTCATGCTGTCATTTGTAATGTAATGTTTTGTGGACGTCGTCGGGATTAAAGTTTTGGTTTATAAATTGTTTAATTTGGAAGCCTGTTTTTCCTTGCAAAACTCAAATCTGTGAGCTTGGTACCAAATCCAAGTATAACATTCCTATTGGAAGCCATACTTACATATTTCCTTGTAAAGTGCTTTTGAAGTAATAAAATGTTAGCATAATTTTGTAAGCTACAGTCAGTTGAATACACCACCACCATAGTTCTTGTCCGTGAAAGATGGCGTACATTATTTTCTTTTTTGGTTACATTATTTTCTAAGAAACAATGGAAGCATTGGATTAGTCTTTGAAGTGAATTTTAGTTGTTACCAAGTAATTTAGTAGTTAACCATTTGTTAGTGAACCACCATTATTTCTAAGCTTTTAGTGACTTAGAGTACATTGTAACCCAGTAAGTTGCACATTAAAAGTCTCAAGTAGCATGAAAACGTTTTTTTTTTTAATTGCTTCAGTTCTGTGTAATTTTGAGGTGTTGCATGGCAATTCTGAACTAATCCATCATGATGTAAAATTCCACGTGGTTCAGATGTAAACGTGAAGAAACGAATAATATGGAGGCATGCATAATCATCCTCTAAGAATCAGGAATTGTAATGTTCACATTTGTGTGCAATTAGATTAAATCAAAACGCAACAGTTTTGTTGGCTTAGTTTCCTTAAATGTGCTCTTTCAAGATAGTTTGGGTTTGTGCTATTTGACTGTCCCGAGTAAGAGATAAGTCATTGCATTGAGTTCCCTTCATAAGGGCTTTTTAAAACAAAACCTCCAAATCTCAGAGAGGAAAGTTGGTGTCAGATTGCTGATTTATTGGGGGCTCTGGCTTTTGGGGCCTCTGGTCTTCAGGTATTTTCTCATATCTCTAAATATCCCTCATTTTAGGAGAAAGCCAAGGTGAGTAAGTACAGAAAATGTCATGGTATATTTAAATTGATTCTTTGCTAGTATGAAATGTGAGTTTGAGGGTTTTTCTTCAGTATACAAATTTCAGTTCTCCATGAAAGGTTACTGAAAACAGTTACAAAGTCTACCTAAAATTGTGATAACTTTAAAAAGACTAAGGGTTTTAATTGGTTTAAATGTTAGCAGGCGTGTTAATCACAGTTCATTATGGGTGCTTCAGTTGAGCCAAGAGGGATTGAAAGCAAATTGGCAGAGAAAGTTTATGAGAAAGCCAGGGCTTCCATAGGTGGTAAGGTATAGTTTTGCTGTAGGCATGTTTTTTTTACATATATAAGCCTATGTCTGGATGTACATTGTACAGCTCTGGGTCAAGGATAGTGTTTATCATAACAGTGAGCAGGACACATTGGCTCAATTTTCTAGGGTGGTTTACCCCTTTACTAGTGTTGGTGTAGTGGTTACTTGTTGGAGCTACATGGAAACCACCACTATCTTCATGACAACAGCCAGTCTTGAAGGAGTGTGACACCAAGACAAAAAGACCCCACTCATAGGCTAGTTTACATCACCAGATGTGAACCAACCCAGTAGGGCAGTTGGAGGACAGACCTGGCAGTGGTTCTGTGACCATATAAAAATATAACACCACTGACTTATAACTACTCGCTATAGGGTCAGCTATACTTTTTTTTTCAGCTATACATTTTTTATGAGAGCACAAATACTCTGCTCTTGAGTGGCTGTTGACCTGCTATTTAGTGATTGACATATAGCTCCACCAGTTCCTATAAAGATTACAGTTAGGGAAATTCAGTGACACGGTTGTACTTATATCATGTACTGCAACTATAAATGTGACTTTGGGTCATTAGTATGTAAAACAGTTTGCTGATGAGCTGGGTTGGCATTGATTTGAGGCTATGACTCGGTATGGTTAAGGTCTTGACCCCATTGTCATGCATGTTGAATTTCTAATGAGTAGTAGGATGAAGCTTGGCTTTTTCAAATTAAAAAGCGTTCTAAAATTTATTTCTTTAAGCAATGAGCAAAAAACCGGTTTAACATGGACAGTTCAGCCTCGATCATGTTCAAATTCAGCTTGCCATTCTTGTCTTTTGAGTTCTGCATGCATAGAAATGCCTGGCCCTCATCGGTTCATATTGAACCCTTGGGGTTGCTCTCTTCACACTTTAAAATGATAAAGTTCAAGGAAAACATTAAACTAGGTAAGCTCAGCTTATTTGGCTTTAAGATGTCAGGGAATATTGTTTTAAGATTTAAAGAACTCTCAGGGTCATTGCTTCCAGGGTTGATTGACCCTTCATGACTTCAGAAAGTATGAAATTCTGTTCCTTATTTGTCCCTTTTGTTCAGGATTTAAAAGGTTCCCATAATAATCTTTTTGTTGAGTTTTTTTTTTTTTCTTTTTGTTGAGTTTTAACAAAGACTCGAAACCACCTTACAAGAATTTTTTATCAAAATATTAATTGGGCACCATCAATTCTGCTAGCAAAGAGCCCCATTCATACACGCAATTGGCCACACATACGGTTTCCTGCTATTTTCACTGCAAGTGACTGACCATATTGTGCCTTGGCTGCCAGCTTGCAAGCTTTTAGACCCAAGGACTGCACTGCTGTGTAGACCACACACCCCTAGCTTTATAGTCTGGGATATACCATGAAACCGTGACATTAAGGTTTCAAATTAAGGCATTAATTTCCACTAGAAGTCAAAAAGTACTGGCACTTGCATTCCAGTTCATTGCCACTAGAATCCCAAACATCTGCAATGGGTTGGCTGTAGACACAAGTCCCCAGCAATCTACTTCATTTTATTAGAGTGCTGATACTTTCTGTGCCGGGGGAACAGTTTATGGCACTGAGATCCCACATAAAACAACCTTGACTAAGGCTCCAAAGGTGATTTCAAGGTAAAGGGTCTGTTTCAGAAGGTTATGAAGACCCGGACTCCAAAGGAAGCAGAGGGTAATTCATAGATGTTGCCAAAGCACACAACAGTCACGCGGGCGTCTTAAAAGTCTGCATTGTTGAGAAAGGCTCCTGTTCTTCCATGAGCCAGAGGCAATGTAGTGGGTTGTAGTAGGGTCAGCTGTACCTTTTTTATGGGCGCACAAAATGGGCAGCCTTTCAAACCCACCAACCACTCCTTGGGAGACAGCCAAGGCATTTACTCCTGTGAAAAGTTGGGCCTTAAAAACCCAGAGGCAGTTGTATCCTGTCAATGGCTGGCAGTCAGTCCCCCACGAGCTTTATTGAGGAAACCACCCTTCCAGTGCTGGTCTTGGCCCTTTAGACCTGGTTTCCCAAGTTATGCATTTAAAATGGAATCCTGAAGGAAGACGCTATAAAGCATGGATGGCTTGTAACCAAGAAGGGCTCTGGAAAGGAGATGGCTACATATCCTAGATTATGGACTAGAGTACAAATGCTTTTAATCACCATGGGGACACAATAAAAACTTTTTTGGAGAAGGTAATGGTAGGGCAAATAACTTTGGGAACCCAGTGGGTTAGAGAAATGGAAACCACGTAAGTATGCAGACTCGCCATGGCAGAAACAAAAAGCTTCACATTGTGATAACCTTAGTGCATATAAAGCCTTAGCACCTGCACTAGTGTCATAAATCACAGCCAGCCAGTTCAGCTTCTGTTTTTTAACTGTTAGCCAACATTGACTGCTACTGTAATAGCTGTGCAACCTTGCCCTTAATGTGTTTCATCACCATTGTCTCCCCTCTTTCCCCTCCACATTTTCCATTTCCACTTCCCTCCTGCTCCTGATAATTATTAGTGAACTTTGATCTCTGTACATTTGCCTTGTTTGGCTTTTGTTTTTGAATCTACAAGGAAGCTTCAAAAGTTAATGGGGGAAATGGAATTGTCTTTAAAACTTCCTCGTGAGGTCATACTATAGTTTTCCCTTTTGTGATTAACGTATTTTTGCTCTGCAGGTCTAGTGTGTATTAAGACTTCATTAAAGCCTAAAATTTATAGGTTAAAAAAACCCAACTCGCTAGGTGTAACTATAGGCCTTTTTAAAAAAGATTATTTAAATGACATCCACACAAGGTAATTCTGTGTCCAGACAGATGGCTGCCGGGGCACATTTCCTCTTTGGTTTTAAAGCACAAGTCCAGTTTAATTCATTGCTACCCTGTCGAGCAGAGGAGAACGCCTTTTGTTCAAAGAACTGGTGGGTGAGTTAGAACTGCTGAGCTTGGGTTGAGCAGCTCAATGCATAGCCCACTACACCAGAGCGGTAAGCTTGCATAAGATGACTCCTTTAAAATGGAATTTCCAAATGAGATCATTCTGGATTCAGCTATCCACATTTTTTGCTTATCTGTTGTTAGGGAAGTCTTTTTTTTTAACCAAAAGTATTGACCTACTTTGCAGTGGGAACTGGGTACCTACAATTTGTCAGATAATTCCAATGAACAGTGCAGTTTAAGATCTTTGATCCCACAATGGTCCTAATAGGATTTTTTTTTAATTTTTAAAAACATTAAAAAAATTTTTTTTAAGAAAACCTATGGGACGTGATTTGTTTTCTTAAAGAGCCTCTGCTTCCAATAAAATCCAGGTAACAAAAGATGGTCAAGATGTTATCAGTTGCATTTGGTATAAGTCTTGGGGTTGTGGGTGAAAAGTCGCCAGAGTGATGGGTGATGCCAAGTTTGTAACTACCCCATCATGGCTGAGGTCCTGTCCTGATACATAATCAAAGGGAAGTAATGGTGACACCAGCTTTTGGCTACTTTGGGCCTATTTATTCCTGCCCCACCCCAGTTCCCCCAGGGATCCCTGTGTGTGGAACCAGTCTGCTCTATGCCTCCTGAACCCGCACCCTCGTGTTTGTTTCTCAGCCGTGCTGGGACAGGCAGCTCTAGATGTGTTAGGCGGGCTGTGGAGCTGAAGGGACAGGAGGGTACTCCACAAGCTCTTCTTCCTCTGCAGCGCGTTTCGTCCCTCAGACCTCACATCAAGGGTGGGGTCTGGGAAGAGTAGGGAGCCACTGGCCCAGAAACTCCCAGCATCCTCTGGATATCTTGGTGTCACTGAGCCGCTGGGTAAAGGTGGTTTTTCTTTGTTCAGGTAGACAG